GGGAGGGAGCAGCATGTGAGTGAGTGAGTGAGAGCACGGCGATAAGGTGTGAAGTCTCAAGGAGCCGCAATGCACAACACTCATGACTATGTAGTGAAGGAGGGAAGCCCCAACCCAACCCACACTCACGTGCATTGAGGTGTGTTTTGAGGCGCCTCAACATACACCTTTTGAGGCGCCTCAACATACACCTTTTGAGGAGCCACAATGCACAACACTCATGACTATGTTGTGTAGGAGGGAAGCCCCAACCCAACCCACACTCACGACTATGTTGTGCCAGATTCCAGCAGAAAGAACCCTCAAGAGCCGAGCGGGAGGCCGGGAGCGGGATGGAAGCCACGTGTGCTACGGGAAGGAAGAGGGTGTGAGGCACAGTGATGTGATGTGATGTGATGTGATGTGATGTGATGTGATGTGATGTGATGTGATGTGAAGCTTAGAGAAGCCCCAACCCAACCCACACTCACCACTATGTTGTGCCGGATTCCAGCAGAAAGAACCCTCAAGAGCCGAGCGGGAGGCAGGGAGTGGAAGTCGGCGGGATGGAAGGCCACGTGGGCTCACAGGAGGGAGCAGGTGTGAGGGACAATATGCACTCACCACTATGTTGTGCCAGATGCCAGCCGTGAGGATTCGCAGCAGGCGAAAGGGAGGCAGGGAGTGGAAGTCGGCGGGATGGAAGGCCACGTGGGCTCCGGGGAGGAAGAGGGCGAGGAGGAAGCATGCCACGTGCTGCACTCGCACGCCCTCCCTGTGGGGAATGGGAAAAAGAGGGTTAGAAGGCTTTGGAAGAAGGAGGGAAGGGTTAGTACAAGGTTGGAAGGGACGAGGGAGGAGTAGGGCGAGGAGGAAGCATGCCACCATGACACATGCTGCACTCGCACTCCCTCTGTGTGGCCAGGGGACAGGGGTGGGGAAGTGTGCGGGAGGAGGGGGGTTGGGGTGAGGTGAAGGGATTGGGAGAGTTACAACGGATTAAGGAGCAGGGCGAGGAGGACGCACGCAACGTGCTTTGAGTCGACTCAAAACTCGACTTATCACACACGGCGGTTGGGTTGAAGGGATTGGGAGAGTTACAACGGATTAAGGAGCAGGGCGAGGAGGACGCACGCAACGTGCTTTGAGTCGACTCAAAACTCGACTTATCACACACGGCGGTTGGGTTGAAGGGATTGGGAGAGTTGCAACGGATGAAGGAGCAGGGCGAGGAGGACGCATGCCACCATGCCACATGCTGCACTCGCACTCCCTCCCACACACATGTGACATTCAAACGCGACAGCTTACACTCATCGGCATAACCCCACACTCCCACGCACAAGCTGACTTTTGAGGCGACTCACACGGCCACACTTCAACTCAGAATCACTCGCGCACATGACAACTTCTGAGGCGCCTAAAAAACCCAGAATCACACACGATATGACAACTTCTGAGGCGCCTAAAAAACCCAGAATCACACACGCACATGACAACTTCTGAGGTGCCTAAAAAACCCAGAATCACACACGCATATGACAACTTCTGAGGCGCCTAAAAAACCCTGAATCACACACGCATATGGCAACTTCTGAGGCGCCTAAAAAACCCAGAATCACACACGCATATGACAACTTCTGAGGCGCCTAAAAAACCCAGAATCACACACGCATATGACAACTTCTGAGGCGCCTAAAAAACCCAGAATCACACACGCATATGACAGCTTCTGGGGCGCCTAAAAAACCCAGAATCACACATGCATATGACAACTTCTGAGGCGCCTAAAAAACCCAGAATCACACACGCACATGGCAACTTCTGAGGTGCCTAAAAAACCCAGAATCACACACGCATATGACAACTTCTGAGGCGCCTAAAAAACCCAGAATCACACACGCACATGACAACTTCTGAGGCGCCTAAAAAACCCAGAATCACACACGCATATGACAACTTCTGAGACGCCTAAAAAACCCAGAATCACACACGCATATGACAACTTCTGAGGCGCCTAAAAAACCCAGAATCACACACGCACATGACAACTTCTGAGGCGCCTAAAAAACCCAGAATCACACACGCATATGACAACTTCTGAGACGCCTAAAAAACCCAGAATCACACACGCATATGACAACTTCTGAGGCGCCTAAAAAACCCAGAATCACACACGCACATGGCAACTTCTGAGGCGCCTAAAAAACCCAGAATCACACACGCACATGACAACTTCTGAGGCGCCTAAAAAACCCAGAATCACACACGCATATGACAACTTCTGAGGCGCCTAAAAAACCCAGAATCACACACGCACATGGCAACTTCTGAGGCGCCTAAAAAACCCAGAATCACACACGCACATGACAACTTCTGAGGCGCCTAAAAAACCCAGAATCACACACGCATATGACAACTTCTGAGGCGCCTAAAAAACCCAGAATCACACACGCATATGACAACTTCTGAGGCGCCTAAAAAACCCAGAATCACACACGCACATGACAACTTCTGAGGCGCCTAAAAAACCCAGAATCACACACGCATATGACAACTTCTGAGGCGCCTAAAAAACCCAGAATCACACACGCATATGACACTTACTCTCACACAACAGCAGCAACAGAATGGCCTGTTTCGTGCCACGCCAGGCTGATAAGCAGCCCCTTATATTAACATATCATATATTATCACACCACTAGATACACCACACACACACACACACACACACACACACACACACACACACACACACACACACACACACACACACATACTCCCACGACACTTACACTCACACGGCAGCAGCTACGGCGTGCCCTGCCTCATGCCACGCCAGACTGATAAGCGTGGCTATAAAGAGGTAGCCGAGATCGGCCAATGGCATGTTGACACCTGGCAGCTGTTGCTCCACGTGGGGGGCGGATAGGGAGTGGGACGAGGGAGGAAAAGAGCAGGGAGGAGGGAAGAGAGAGGTGGAGAGGGGGGCAGGAAAACATAACGAGCTGAGGGGGAGAAACGGAGAGGTGGAGTGAAGGAGGCACAAGGTGCAAGAGGGATGGAAGTAAGGAAAGGTAAACATTACACACTCGTAATAAGCTCTCACCCACTCACTCGCTCAGTCACCACCCACCCAAACTCACCAACTCAGCCACTCACTCACTCACTCACTCATTCACTCACCCACTCACTCACTCACTCACTCACTCACTCAGTCACCACAGGCTGAAGCATGTGAAGCGAGGATGGTGGGATCGAGGCAGAGGCAGGGGCGGTTGCATGCTGTGCAGCATGGGCATCAGGCTCCGCTGGGGCAGTGGGGTCTGGCTCAGCTGCTTGCAATCGGAAGGCTTGCTATGCTGCATGGGACGCTGGCAATGCCAATGCTAGTACCAGTCCCCTTCAACTCTCACTCACACACTCGCTCACTCACTCACTCACTCACTCGCTCACTCAATCCACACACACTCATTCACTCACCCACTCACTCACCACAGGCTGTAGCACGTGAAGCGAGGATGGTGGGGTCGAGGCAGAGGCAGAGACAGGGGTGGCTGCTTGCCTTGCAGCATGCGCATCTGGCTCAACCTTGGAATGCTCTGGTGCTTGGAATCGGAAGGCTTGCTGTGCTGCATGGGACGCTGAAGAAGAGCCCATTGCTTCAAAGAGACCGACGGCAGGAGAGGAAGGTCCGAAAGAGGCGTTTTCAGTAGAAGGGATGTGACTGTAGTGAGAGTGGTTGTGAGAGTGGGTTTGAGGGTAAAAGCGCTGCTGTTCCTCTAGGTGCTGAGATGAGGTGGAGAGGTAGCGGAGGAGAGGGACGAGGAGGGAGGCTATAAGGCCGTCCCATAGAAGCACCTGGGGAGGGGAGGGAGGGATGTAGGGAGAGAGAGAAACTCATGGAATTGGAAGTGACTGTATGTGAGTGTGGCAAAAGACGCTCAGGAGGGCGAGCGTCCTGCGACTGGACGCTGCGTCCAGATGCAGGACGCAGGACGCTCCGCGGAATTTTTTATCGGGCTGCCCGAAAAACAGAATCGGCCTGCGAAATCGCCATTCACGATTTCGACGCCTATGTTAGATCCGTGAAAGCGAAACTCCGTGGGAGCGAGGTCGCCAAACAGAATCGCAAAAGAATGGGAGCAATTTTACTAGCTTGGCAAAGCAAAATCGCTAGCAACCATTTTTCCCCCAACCACCACACATTACCGCACTGCATCTTCTCCCCCCCCAAACCTTGTCGACCTGAATCCCATGTAAGAAGAGAATCAGGTCGACATTCAGAGCTTTCTCTCCTAGTCAACCTGATTCTCTTTCGAAAAACCTAAATCTCGGTTTCATGATGTGTGTGGAAATGTGGTGTTTAAAGAAGGTTTTAAGGATAATCCATGTTAAATGTTGTTGCAATGTCCCTAAACCCCTCTCCCCCCATTCGTAGACAGTTTTTCTGCCTGCCCGGGCTTGCGTCTTTTTCAGCGTCTAACTAGCCCCAAGTGGGTGTCTAGCGTCTTGGACGCAGCGTCTAGACGCAAGCGTCCAAGATGCTAGACGCGTCTTTCGTCACATGTAGAGTGCTGGAAGCAAGTGTGGAGAGTGCTGGAAGCAAGTGTGGAGAGTGCTGGAAGCAAGTGTGGAGAGTGCTGGAAGCAAGTGTGGAGAGTGTATTGTGCTGTGCAGTGATGAGAAGCAATACGATACGAAAGATGAGCAATGAAGATCAAAGGGAGTTGTGATTGACGCATGCACACACCAGAGAGGCCAGTATGATGGCGATGCAGGCTGCAATGGCGCCCCATGTGAAACGGTTGGAGGCTCGTCGTAAGCACGTGCGGATGAGAGATGTGATGTGATGCGATGCGATGCGATGTGATGCGACGCGATGCGATGCGATGCGATGCAATGTGATGTGATGTGATGTGATGTGATGTGATGTGATGTGATGTGATGTGATGTGATGTGATGTGATGTGATGTGATGTGATGTGATGTGATGTGATGTGATGTGACCGATGCACGCACCAGAGAGGCCAGTATGAAGGCGATGCAGGCTGCAATGACGCCCCATGTGAACCATGCCCGGAGCATCCTGGGATGAGACGAGACACATGAGAAAAGATTAGTTTCTGGCGATGTTCGGTTGGAGTACTGAGGAGGGTTACACGAGACACAAAGAACCATGATACAGAGGCTGCAATGACGCCCCATGTGAACCATGCCCGGAGCATCATGCGATAAAGGGAAGGGGAACGGGAAAGAGAAATGGAAAGAGAAATGGAAAGAGAAAGGGTAAGAGAAAGGGAAAGAGAAAGGGAAAGAGAAAGAGTTTTGCATCCTTTTTGTGATGTTACTGTTGGGGTACTGACGGGCAACCCAAATAGTTTCGGACGTTTTGTTGGAATACAGAGAGCAGAAGGCATAGTCCTAAGAAAGAACGGCGCGAACAACACAAAAAATGGCATGAAACATAGCCGGAACGAAATGGAGCAAAAGAAACAACCACTTTGGCAGCAGAGCAGCCCAACCCGTACGTAAGTAGCACCCCCCCGTAAACAGCCTAGATGCAAACGGCAAAGTGGCGGCAGCTCAGCTCAGCTCAGCCCATAGCCACATCCCACCTCTTGGCAGATTTTCAAGGCGCCTAAAAAACTGAGACGATTTTTTAGGCACCTTAAAAATCAATCCCAACAGCCTAGACGCAGAGGGCTAAGTGGCAACAGCTCAGCTCAGCTCAGCTCAGCCCATAGCCACATCCCACCTCTTGGCAGCTGACTTGGCAGGCAGCAAGCGAAGGCGCTCCAGCCAAGGGTTGAAGCACGTGGTGTGGACCTGAATGTACCTGGTGGAGGGAGAAAGGGAGGAGGTGATGGGAAGGGAGGGGGGGAGGCACCTTCAAGCATGTGAAGGTGCTCGTGTTGAAGCACGTGGTGTGGACCTGAATGTACCAGATGTGGGAGGGAAAGGTAGCGAGGGAGAGAGGGAAGGAGGGAGGGAGGGAGGGAGGGAGGGAGGGAGGGAGGGAGGGAGGGAGGGAGGGAGGGAGGGAGGGAGGGAGGGAGGGAGGGAGGGAGGGAGGGAGGGAGGGAGAGAGGGAGGGAGGGAGGGAGGAAGGGAGGGAGGGAGGGAGGGAGGGAGGGAGGGAGGGAGGGAGGGAGGGAGGGAGAGAGGGAGGAAGGGAGGGAGGAAGGAAGGGAGGGAGGGAGGGAGGGAGGGAGGGAGGGAGGGAGGGAGGGAGGGAGGGAGGGAGGGAGGGAGGGAGGGAGGGAGGGAGGGAGGGAGGGGGGGTTATATATGTATATATATACTCAACTAGAAAGGTGTGTAACTTACCCTATGCTGGATGTAACCCCACTTGTATGGGTAACCTCTCCTTGCTCACTTTCGCCCTGAGCTCTCTTGTCGTTTCCCCCTCCCTCTCCCCTTCTCCCCCTCCTCTCCCTTCCATCCGCCTTTCCCCCTCTCTCATCACTCTCTCCCCCATCCTCCTCCCCACTGCTATCCAAGCCTCCGTCAACCCCTTTATTAGCACATTCGCTTTGGGCACTTCCTCCCCCTTTACTATCACAATCGCCTCCCCTTGCCCCGCGCTTCCGCTTGAAGCCCCCCCTCCTCCTGCCCCCGCGAAGCCAGCGCCAGTGCAGGGGGGATGAGCGGAGAGAGAGTTCCGCGCACTGGGGGGAGGGGATGGACAGGGGGCAGGGGGAGGGGGAGGGTGGGGAGGCGGGGGGGAGAGACGGGAGAAGGGAGTGGGGAAGGGGAGGATGCGCGTATTGGTGCAATTGAGAAGAGCGGAGAGTGAAATCCGCGCATGAGGCGCCCCCTCCCCTTTGAGTTGAGACTCCCCCTCCTCCTGCCTCCAGGAAGCCAGCGCCAGTGCAGGGGGGATGAGCGGAGAGAGAGTTCCGCGCACTGGGGGGATGGAGCAGGGGGCAGGGGGGAGGGGGGGGAGGGGGAGGAGGAATGGGAGAAGGGTTGGGGGAATTCGTGCATTGGTGCAACTAAGGTTCCCCCTCCTACTGCCGCCGCGCAGCCAGCGCCAGTGCAGGGGGGATCGGCGGACACAGAATACCGCGCACTGGGGGGATGGACAAGGGGGGGCAGGGGGGAGCGGAGCCGGGGCGGGGGGTAGGTGGGCGGAAAGGGGTTGAATGGGATGTCCGGACGGCGGCTTACCAGACGTCGGCTGAGACGGCACTAGAGAGAAATCAAATGAGGAGTCGCGTAAGTACCTTAAAGATAGAAGGAACGAGGAGATTGAGGATTCCTAAGTCAAACAGCTTTACCAGACGTCACTTGAGGAGGCTACACTTGTTATCTGAGATTCATCAGACGTCAGGTATTAGGTACCTTGACCAGCAGGGAAACGAGGAGATTGAGCAGCAGCCAAAGGAAAACAGCTCTACCATGCGTCAACTGAGACGACATTTGTCATCTGAGACAAAAATTTAAGAAAATTATCTGAGACGTGGTACTAAGTAAGTACCTTGACGAGCAGGGGAACGAGGAGATTGAGCAGCAGCCAAAGGGCGACGCCGATAACCAGCTCTGCAGACACCACCATTTCGCATTCGCGAAGAATGACGACGGCGTGAAAGACTCTCCGCAAATGTCGCTGACATTACTGGCGGCAAAACGTCACGTTGGTCGCGTCGCGTCTGATTCACATTCCAGTGACCGTTGATTGGTGGTGGTGGAATGATTTTGAAGACATAGGAACTTCGCTCGCATTGTAACTGCGCACCACGGTTCAGCTTGGTGCGTTGTGTTCCAAAGCGGTGAAGAGCGCTAACTTCTGTTCAGAGATTTGGTGAATTGTGAGAACCCTCTCTTCGCTAACTCTTCGCCATAGTTCGCAATCAGCGCTGCTGGGCTGAGATGTTGACTAGAGATTAGAACCTGGTAACCAGTTGCGAGGTGGAAGAGGGGGGAGTGGTTATCAAGGCACCAGCTGGCCTGCATTCTTGAATTTGGATGCTCTGAACGTGGGCGGGTCTGAAAAAATACGTACTCGAGACTATACCCTACCCAACCATTCTAATTCTATACCAGACCGCTCTATATCATACCATCAACCTCTTTCGGACGTACTCTTCGGACACTTGATAACGACATGGATGTGAACTTTGCACACTTTTGCAACTTCTTAGTGACCACCACCATCGCAGAAACACGCCCCAACCCGTCAGCACACCCACCCCTTCCCCCCCTCCTCACCAAGCCAGCTTCACCAATCTTACAGACCTCACATTTATCAACGAGTTTGTTTGCTCAAAAACCCTCACTGCCGTTCTGGTTCGTCACGGTACCGCTCTTCAACAATATATTTCTCATAACCTCTTCAAATATAGCGCTTTATGACATACTGTTACGAGTGCAATCTATTGATAGAGCGAGGATTTCACTATCGAGACAAGAAAGACAATGAGCGAAGAATTGGGCGAAGAATATATAGCGAAGCTACAGTGGTAACGGTAACGTGTGGGAAATAGGGTGCGCGACGGGCCTGGTGCTGAGGTTGGGGGACTGTCGAGGCGGAGGTCCGGAGCGCGGGTTACCAACCGAACCGTGAGGTTGGGTCGCATCGTGAACAGTGGCGGGAATGGGGTCGAGGCGAATGTCGCGAGTGGTAACGGGATATTGTGGGGTGCTGTTGGCGGGAACAGTGGTGTACGCGCTGATCAGGGACGCGAAGTAAGGAAAAGTGATTTTCCTTACACATACTCTCACCTGACCAAGTCCAATGTACAAGCCATTCCCATGGAAACTGCATTCCATGATTCAAGAGACACTCTTATCATCAGCCATTGATTTTCCCTCGAGCCTTGAGGTCTACGAATCCGTGCATCCAGTGTCTGCAGGAATCTTCGTCAACTGTCCGTCGCGTGTAGGTCGCTTGGCTACCGATCTCAGTAGATTAAAGCCTAATTTCCTTATTGCTCCGTTTCATGTATCTCCCAGATGCTGTACTGATCGATTCATTTGTTCAGCGTTGACCTTGAGCAACCAGGATCATGCTCTAAGACGCCTGTCGCTGCGGCTATGTCTCCTATTAAGCCATTGATCATCGTGGTCTCGGATAACGTGGATTCTTCGCGGTGCTATTCGGCTTAAAATTGTTATTGCGAACGATCTTCGCTACTGGCGCACTCGTTAAGAGCACAGCAACGATGTCTCGCTTCGCCATTCCGTTCCTCGCTATAATCTCTATCTCCGCCTTCGTCGCCTCGTACAATGTCGTCGGCATGATCCTCAGCACCACGCGTCAGCGCATCTCTATCCGCTCTAAAAGCACCCTCGGTAAGGCCACCTTCAGTAGTAGTCGCCTTCAAAAAGGCGGTCGACCGCTTCTCGGAAAACCACTTCCCCAAACCAGCGGCTCTGGTTCGGATTCCGTAGGCTCGGATGGAGGCTCGGCAGTGGTGAAACGGCCGGAAGGTCCGAGCTCCGGTGTGAAAAAGAAGCGGTATTTCCACACGGCGATGACGTGTAACGATTCACCGTACACCAAGTGGCAGTCTCGGATCATGTACTTCTACTATAACAAGTATCGAAACGACCCTGAATCGGAGATGGGGGGATTCACCCGCGTGCTGCACTCAGGGAAGCCGGACAACCTGATGGACGAAATTCCAACGGTCGTCGTCGATCCCCTGCCTCCGGGAATGGATAAGGTCAGTTGAAGGCTCCTCTGGCCTTCGAGGCACCTCAAAAGTCGCGAAGGCTTTGGATGTCCCAAAAACCTGAGACGCCTCAATATTCAAAATTCTTCAGAAGCCGGACAACCTGATGGACGAGATTCCAACGGACGTCGTCGATCCCCTACCTCCGGGAATGGATAAGGTCAGCGATTGATTTTGACACGTGTCACATTATTAGAAGCCGATTCAACAATGAGATCCAACGGTCGTCGTCGATCCCCTGCCTGCCGGGATGGATAGGGCCAATCGGTTGACTGTCTGACTGCCTTATTCTCCTTATGCTCCTCCACAAATCACTTGAGGTGACTTTTGAGTCGACTCTCATTCTCCTTATGCTCCTCCACAAACCACTTGAGATGACTTTTGAGTCGACTCTCATTCTCCTTATGCTCCTCCACAAATCACTTGAGATGACTTTTGAGTCGACTCAAAAGTCACCTCATTCTCCTTATGCTCCACAAATCACGTGAGATTCAACTCCTTTCATAAAGTCATTCTTTTTCATTCTCCCAGACCGATACCTCCCCCCCACCACCGTCCGTTCTTCTCCCCTTTCGACGCCATGGGCGTTCGTGCAGTGGCTTTTGATTCGACTCAACCTCTATCCACCCTTCTCCCCGCATTTCCCCTTCACACCCCCTGCCTTTCTTCCTACTCGTAGGGCTACGTGGTGTTGAATCGACCGTGGGCGTGCGTGCAGTGACTTTCGATTCGATTCAAATCGACCTTCTTCCCCTCTTCCCCCCACCTGTGCTCCCTCCCCCACCGTCCGCCTCCTACCCTTCTCATCTCCTACGGCTACGTGGTGTTGAATCGACCGGGGGCGTTCGTGCAGTGACTTTCGATTCGACTCAGCATTTCTTCCCCTTCTCCCCCCTCCCCCCCCCATTCGCCCTTCCCCGTCCGTCTCCTTCCCTGCTCGCAGGGCTACGTGGTGTTGAATCGACCGTGGGCGTTTGTGCAGTGGATACAGAAGGCTCAGATCGAGGAAGAGTGAGTGCGAGAATGCATGCATGTGGTGGTTGCAAGAAGTGAGGGCAAGCATGCGTGCGTGCATGCATGATGCGTCTGTGGTGATGGTGCAATAAGTGAGTGCAGTGGCTACAGAAGACTCAGATCGAGGAAGAGTGAGTGCAGTGGCTACAGAAGACTCAGATCGAGGAAGAGTGAGTGCAGTGGCTACAGAAGGCTCAGATCAAGGAAGAGTGAGTGCCCACAAACACACAGACACACACGTGCATGTGCTGGTTCATTGCTTAGTCAGTCCTGAGTCAACTCAGCAGTCATCATGTGTGGGCGTTCGTGCAATGGATACAGAAGGCACAGATCGAGGAAGATTGAGTGCCGCACACACAGACAAACGCATGCATGTGCTGGTTCGTTGCTTAGTCAGTCCTGAGTCAACTCAGCAGTCACCGTGTGTGGGCGTTCGTGCAGTGGATACAGAAGGCGCAGATCGAGGAAGAGTGAGTGCATGCAAGAGCTGGGTACTTATTCATCATGGTGTTACTTTGAAAAAATATCAAAAGGTGTTACTTTGGTTCTGCTTTTGAGAAATCTTAAAAGTGCATGCAAGTGCTGGGTATGTATCATCATGGTAACGATTCGTTCTGCTTGCTCGCATGCTTGAAAACTCTCATGTTTTCAAATGCCTCTGAGGGTTTACGGCAGACTGCGATCACCAACACCCACAGGATGTTTTCAAGCTGATGATCACCCACAGTTGCCCAATGCCCATCCACGCTGCTATCCGTTCTCTCACTATGTGGCCAGGCGATCCGCACTGCTATGATCTATCTGTCCCCTCCCATCACCTGCCTGGGCTGTGCAGTTACGTGTGGATGGCAGAGCCAGATCACATCAATGTGAAGCCCATTCCCAACCTCACGACTCACATGCTGCCTGCTGTTTGGCCCATGCCGCTATCCATTCTTTCACTGTGTGCCTATCCTAACCATACCGCTCTCCCTTCCCACCATGTGCCTGTGGCTCTGTGCAGGTACGTGTGGATGGCCAAGCCGGATCACATCATTCCTGAGTCGTCTCGTGAATCATGATCTCCCACAGCTGTCCTCACTGATCTCCCACAGCTGTCCTCACTGCTCTTCCCTCTCTTACCCCCTTGTGCCTGTGGCTCTGTGCAGGTACGTGTGGATGGCAGAGCCAGACCACATCCATCATTCTGAAGCCCATTCCCAACCTCTCGTCTGACATGCTGCCTGCTGCTTTGGCCATGCTGCTATCCATTTTTTTACCGTGTGCCTATCCCATCCTAACTGTTTTCCCTCCCACCATTTTCCTGTGGCTCTGTGCAGGTATGTGTGGATGGCAGAGCCGGATCACATCATTCTGAAGCCCATTCCCAACCTCGCGTCTGACATGCTGCCTGCTGCCTTCCCCTTCTTTTATATCGTGCCCAAGGACCAAGAGAGTGAGTTAATCCCTCTATGATTGATGATCAAATCACTCGAATGCGCCATCCTGTTATCTTCCTTCTTCTATATTGTGCCGAAGAACCAAGAGAAGAGTGAAGGCAATGGTTGAAGAGAGTGAGTGAGTGAGTAAGAGAAGTTGACTCATTTGAGTCCGCCCTTTCCCTTGTTTACATCGTGTGGTTCCAAGGAAGGAAGGAAGGAAGGAAGGAAGGACCAAGAGCGTGAGTCGTGTGACGATATTTGACACTCTGCGTGACGCTCGCTCACGCTCTCCTAAACCCGAAGCCTCGGATGTTGCTCTGAAGCTCTGAAACGCCTCTGCCTTTCATCCCACTCCCTCCCATCTAGACCTGTGCAAAGTGACGAGTCGAGCAAAACTCGACTCGTCTGGGTTCAAACTCGTCCGAGTATTGACCCGAGTCGAGTAA